AACTGGTCATTGTCGTAAAGTGTGGAAATGAACATGGGATAACAATTATAATGCAATGAAAGAATAGGGAGTTATGAGTGAGATACTGATGGATCTGTGTACACATGAAGACACCAAACACATTTCATGACAGTTTGTTTTCCAAATCACCCTATCAGAAATTCAGTCGTCATAGTTGTACTAACACAGTTCAACATTTATACCAGAGTTATGTTAAATTGGGTGTTGACTGAATTGTATTTGGTAGACATGACATATTAGAAGCTGGCTATACTTCCATGTTCAGGTGTTTTGGGGTATTATACTGACATTAATTTTTATTGATGTTATTTTGTATATTAGTACCAACAATCAGGATGAAATCCAACCTCCAGTTACTAAATTTGCGTGCTTTCTATTGATTTATTTAAGGTTTAATTCCAGTTTTCAGCAGCAATTTATTGTACTGTAATAATAACACATTCCTCTTATAACAGTTTTTAATTGTGATTATCTTGACCGCAATAATTCAGTTTGGTGGTGTCATAGATTTCTGAGGTCAGTTATATCCATCACAAGACCATATCATTCTGTTTTGTCACTGTCTCCCTGTGAGATAACTTGTATGAACCTTAAATATTAAGTATGTAATATGTAACTACCCTAAGTGGAGCACTGAATACAGGAAAGCTAATGATTGGACATTGGCTTTATATGCATATTTAGTTTTTATGTTTTCATAATACTCATTTACATGTCAGCAGGTGTCAATGCAGTGTTGAAGAGCATTTTGGACGTTGTACATATAATGGGCTTGCATATTGTGTCATATTTGCAAGGTAGTAGAAGGAAAATTGTTTATTTATTTTAGGCATAATAATTGAACAATTTGCTATGGTCAGAAAGTGAAGAGACCCCAGTATATATTTAATCAGGATAGCAATGTCCTGAAACTACACAAGTGTAATAGATAGATAATTGTGATATGATCAGAACAATCCCCAAGTTACCCTCTTTTGATTGATTGAAGGTTATTTGTAAGTGAATATATTTAAGTTTTGTACTATATATGTTAAGGCATTAATAGTTGGAAGATATATGCATATGTGAGACTTTTTCCTATCATGAATAGTGATGTTTTTTTTCTTCAGTTTTCTTGTTTTTAGTAATACTTCTTTATGTTTCATGTGTATGATGTCACCTTGAAGGCAAAGTGTGCAGTTTATATGAGGGTTGCGCTTAATCCCATATCAGGATTACTTAGTTTCAACCCAGTAATTTGGTACAACTGATGAGTTTCCCCTCACTCTGTATGGAGATGCATGAAGTATGTCTGGGAGTGCATAGTGTTGTGACATCCTGGTTTCTAGGAACTTAACAAGCACCTCATCAAAGTGATAAAAGGAACTGAACATTTATATAAAGATATGGACTTTAACATAATTGAACATGAAATATTATCAGTCAAGTGAGTGAAAATCAGTTAAACAAAAATTAAATTCTTCTTTTTTCATCTGAGGGCTATGAATAATCATTTTTTTACATCGTGGATGACTGAAAGTGTTGTGTGATTGTTATTCTTATTAATATACACAGAGGGAGAAAAAAAGAATTTCCCAGAAACATTATTAAAACTGATAAAATTATGTATGTGAATAACATTTTCAGTTTTATATTTGTACCTCTCCCAAAACTAATATTATATATGATGTTACCTGTATAACATGGGTCTTTCACTGTAAGGGAAGAACATGGATTGAAGGTCTCTGAGAACAGGGTACTAAGGAGAATATTTTGACCTTAAAGAGAGGAAGTAACAGAAAGATGGTGAAAACGATACTGCCTATTCACTTCACCAGGTATTATTACGGTCATCATATGAAGCAGGATAAGATGAATGGGGCATATAGCACAGAAAGGACAGTTCAGTCAGAATAACTTAGAAACTAGTCAGCTGGGAGGATAATAAAATAGATGCAGAATACGGATATGAACTGCAATTATTTGACTGGTTAGGGACCAGTGGCAGGCTGTCGTTATCAAGATAATGAATATGAAAGTTGAACTTTGTTCTGAGTAACTAACAAATCTTGAAGACAGACTGCACTGCATGGAGATTCTTGGTGGTCTTATTCTGTGTATAAGAAGAAATCCTGATTTTTTCCATCCTTGTATCAAGCCATGGCAAGTCAAATTTGCTTTTAATTTTTCACTTTTATGTTCCATCACCTGACTTCTTATTTTCTCTACCATTTTTTTTCAGCAACCCATATCTTTTGCCATAATTTTAATAATTATATTTACTTTCAATGGTTGAGAGGGAGGCAGGATAGTGTAGTCAGTATGACTAGATTGAAGGCTGGATGACTGAGGAGTTGGCGTTGGATTCTTGATAGGGGCAAGAGACTTTTCTCCATAATGTCAGGACTGGCTCTGGGACCCACCAAGCTGCCTATAAAATGAGTACCAGGAGGTAATGCTGCAGGGGCATGAAGTTGACCACCCAACTCCATCTAGTGCCAAAGTTAAGAATGGTGGAGCTATACCTCCATTCCTGTGTCTTCATGGCATGGTGCTTAATTAATTCACCCCAAGGACATTACCATTTTTTATAATGGAAATGAATTTATGATATTATTGGCTTATATTTTGAACACTGAAGTGCAGACCTTATATGACTGTGTAAATTATGTGAGTATATATGTAGGAATCAGAATTTCAAATTGAATTCTCTAACTTTATATCTGCTGAAAGGTGATGACCAGAATGGCAGCTGTGTGTTGAAAATTAGCATATTCATATGTGGAGGGATGGACTCCCAATTCATCAGAGGGGGTTTAAAAATCTGTTGAAAAAAACTACATTTTGAAATAAAAATTTGGAAATCAGGATGCTTCAATATAATATCTTGCAATTTATGTTCGTGTTTGGAGCCGTTATTTTATTCCATTTCAGGAACCTTATATACCCATGGTAGATGGTCTTGATAATTACTGTTAATAATTAATAGAGAGATAACTATTTTTTTTAGGCTCTGCAAGGTATCACATTTCCACTATGCATATTCACTTCATGGTTTGCCATCTTTCCTACTGGGTCAGTTGCAGTGAGAGTACAACTGCGCCAGCATCACAGGGCAAAGATTATTGGCCCACTTGCAATATCATGTCAGATTTAATTGCATCTGCACAAGAAATAGGGCCCACAACCCTCCTTGCACTTCGGCATGCCAGACACCATCATCACAGAGCAGAACTTTGTGGATTTCCTCTGTCTGATATTGTGTGTGTTTACGTGTCCAAGGAAAGTGACACGTCATCTCAGAAAAGGTCAGCCTGGGATGAGGCTTGCCACTGTAGACTAGCTGAAAATATCTGTTACAGAAATTACTGGATCATGTGGCTGTAAGAAGTGCAACTGTGGTTTTGTAGCAGTTCTTGCAAGGTTCCCTTTGTATTGAACATGGATAAGTTTACATTAAAGCATTGTATGTTTTACACAGATACCACATGAAATGTAAGTCTGGTATGAAGTGTTAGAGAAGATTCAGCAGAGAGTTTCAGGAAACTACTCAGTATCTTAGCAATAAAATGAGAAATGGCATGTTAATGGATAGGAAACAAAAAGTATTAACAGAAGAAAGCTTGGATGATATTGGAACTTTGCTTGAACATTGCCTCTTAAGCCTTTAATGCACCTTGTGCAAGTGACAGGAGTATCAAAGAGATGGTAGAACTGGGACAGCAGTTATTTAAACTAAGGCTGTGCCATAGCTCAAGTGGTTAATTGCTGGCTTCCCACTGTGGTGGACAAGGTGGCGCTGGGGCGGGTTTTCTCCGAGTACTTCAGTTTCCCCTGCCAATCTTCATTCCGCCAAATTCTCCATCATCATAATCACTCGGGGCAGGCTACAATAGGCCAATCAGTGACCACTGTGCCGAGTGGACACAGTTGGACTCCACCCCCCACTAAGAGAATTAAAAAAAAGGAGGGGCCTTACCAAATCAGGAGCTGTGATAGCTTAGTATGGCAACATGCTATGGACTGGGTGACCAAGGTATCAGGGTTAGATTTTCTAATGGGCAAGAGACCTCTCTGCAGCACCCAGACAAGCTCAGCGGCCCGCCCATCTTCCTATCTAAGGGGTACCAGGGGCTCCTTCCTTGGCGGTAAAGTGATTGTGGCATGAAGCTGATCACTCGCTTCTGTTGTGTGTTCTGTTCTTGTGTTTTGAGCAGAAATTCTGAGACATACACAAGGCAGATACTGCAAGTGAGTCAGTAACCTTTAGTCCTGTGATGTTGCAGCTGACCATATAGGAAGGCAGTGACACATGCATTGAGCATGTATAGGTGAAAGGCCATGCCATGGCACAGTTGCCAAATAGCCCCATGAACAATTGTTTTTATTCCTTCACATAAAAGCAATGGTGTTATGCTTCTTTCCTTCCTGTTGGGGGAGGGTCCTTCATAGAATTAGTTCTGAATTGCCTCAGAAGTAGACACAGTACTGTATTATAAATGTTTCAGGAAAATGTATTTATTTTCCACAAGTTTTGTTATTATCACCTGATACTAAATAATTGGGGAATGCAGTAGCATAGTTGGTTGAGGCACAATGCTACAAGCCGGAAGGTCGCAGGATTGATTCCCGATGAGGTCATTGAATTTTTTCGATTTACCTAATCCTTCCAGCTGCACTATGGCCTTGGGGTTGACTCAGCCTCTAACAGAAATGAGTACCAGGAATATTCTTGGGGGTAAAGGGCAGCCGGCGCATAGGGCTGACAACCTCACCACCGATTGTCTAGAAAATGTGGGAACCTCAATATCTCACAACCCTATAGGCCTCCACGGCCTGTTACAGGGATACCTTTGTATTAAATAATCAGTATCCTAGATGGGACACTGGCCAGAATTTGTCGTGTGCTGGTCCTTTCCTGTAATTGACACTCTGTAGACTTTCAGTTGATACACGTTCAGTAATCTACATAGCAACTAAATAATAATTCAAGAAGTCACTTTTTCATGTGATATATTTTTATATTTATTTGCACAATAAGTAAGCAGTAACATAGGCATCAAAATATTTATGACTCCTCTCCATAAAATATTAATCTGAGTTTCCATCTCCTCCATGCATGAGTACTCCATTCCGTTTATGTAGCAAGGAATCCTCCATCAATGGGGAGAGTAACTCCACTTATCATGGAAGATTTGTCACTGAGAAGATAGACAACAGCATCCACCACCTCATGAACCTCTGTAACAAGTATTAACAAGTATCAGGATTTTAGACTGTGGTCTTCTCGGTTTTGACTAAATATGGTTTTGTGGGTGGCTACCCAGACCACCACAGTCCATATTTTCACCACCATGAAAATGTCATATCAAGATTTCAAATTAGAATAAATTTATTATAGATGCAGGCCCTCCAATCCCTCATTTTCAGCCTTTGGCTTTAAAAAACGGTAGGCTTATGAGGTCACCTCTCTGTCTCTGTATCCCCCCCCCAGTCACTAGGCAAACACATTCCCATGGAAATGGATACACACACATTAGAAGAATTGTTTGATATGGCATTTTCTATGTGGCCTGTGTTGTATCAAAGGAAAGTAGGCGATTAGTTCTTCCCAGAACTTCTCGTATATCTTAATATTGTTTTCAGCCTACTTTCTTAAAGCAGGCTTATATGCTGTCCATGCTGTCTATGAATGCACTCCTATTAACTTTTGAATGCCTAAACCAGTTTTTATGAAACTTGGTATGTATATCATGGCACCTGACCCCATCTCAATGGCAAACAAGAAAACAAAACAATCCGTGGCCTGTAGTCCACAAATGAACTATACTGACCGAGTGACCGCCGCTTGACAGCGAAGTTTAGTGCCAGCTTCAGCGGACAGACAGTGTTGCGTGGTCAGCACAACAGATCCCCAAAGCTGTTAATTTCGGTTTTCTCACTGTTTCCTTGAAATAGCTCCTCAATTATCCTCACAAGGCTAAGTGGACCTGGTTCCAGACCCACTACTTCTCAGAAAATCTGGTAGCGCTGGGAATCAAATGCGGGCCTCTAGATCTGTAGCCAGGAACTCTGACCACTAGACCACAGAGGCGGTCTCGCATGCATAAATCCCTCTCAATGTCTGTATGTGTATCCTCCTAACATTGCTAGGCAAAGACTTGGTAAAATGTATCCCTCCTTTCATTGCTAGTTTGATACTGACAGTACTCCCTAGTCAGGTATGTAAGTCGAGATGCCGTTAACTCTAAAAGTTTGTGACAGTGGGTTTGATTCAAGACATTTTAATTACATTAGACAGCATCTACTGTTCAAAAGTTTTGAAAATGAAACTGAAATGAGAACGGCAAGACCAAGATCAAGACGGGAATAACAGGTTGGGAATCTTGTCATATGGAAGGAAGGAAGAACATGGGAGCTTTAGGATGAGAAGTCTGTGGTTTGTTTAATGTACCTGACATTTGAGGAGTTGTCTGTACTGTGATTTGTTCCAAATGATTAAATACTTAACAAAGAAAACAAGGCTGATTACCTGCAAATCTTCCTAAAGGTATCTTGGTTAGCATGGGACCAGCTTTCTCAGGATGTGACCAACCCAATTTCCCCATATCTGTTAGAACAACAGTTGGGTTGACACAATTGACCCGAATATTATGTGGTCCCAGCTCCAGAGCCATAACACGAGATACCATGTCCAGAGCTCCTTTTGTGGCACAGTACACGGTGTGGTCTGCCAAGGCTGCCTGAAATGAACATAATGAAAACAAATGTCAGAATTCAAGTATATGAACAGTGCTTACTACAAGAAGAAAAGTGCTAGGAGTTATTCTGTGGTGCCTTGTCGGAATGAAATTTGTATATACAGAATAAGTAAGTAGACAGACACTCCAATAAGCAGCTAAAGAAACAATTATACTGGTGATTTAATCAGATTAAAGAAAGATTGTCTAAGAGCCCTAATGTCAATTCGACCTCAGAGCTGAGAGTAGAAAGCCTAAAGAATATGTATGAGTAATCGTAACGGATGGTAAAATGTTTGTTACTTATTTTGACAAGACTTGAAACTGTATACATTTCTGAAATTGGCTCTTTGTGATTTTGCATAACTAAATATCAGTTTGTTTTCATGTGTTGTGTTCATGCAACTACGCTGTATTTAAATATAAAATATTGTGACTTGATGGCAGAAAGCCGGACTAGTTTGACAACAGAAGTCATCCATTGCTAGACAGTGCCTGGTAAACATGTTTCCACAACAAGGAAAACATACTCCCACATGAACAGTATGTGGGCCATAACTAGGCAACAGCCTGCTTCACACATCACTCGACAATGGAGTAATTTTTAAGTGGTGTTTTCTATGTGGTCCATGCCAAGGTTACATAGCGAGGACAAATGGGAAAAGTGAGTCAGTAGTCAGCACTCGTAGTTAGTTGTTAGCCATGAGCAGAGGCATTTCCACTGTTAGAATCCACTACCTAGCAATCACTAGTGAAGACAGTAACAGAATGAGACTTAGTGTGTACTGTAGTGATTGTAGTGTGTAGAGTACTGAGAGTGTTAGTGTAGTTGCAAGTCCTAAGCATTCAATAAACCCAACTATCAATTGAAACCCTGTGTATAGTCACTAACAAGTGACAATATATTTCCTCCTATTTTGTTAAATATTAACTAAACTAAAAAATCATATATATATGGTTTATATATTTTTTGTATCATAAGCTATTCTGAAGAAAGTTGATGCGCAGTTTTTCTGTGGTTTATTTTACAATGCAGACAGTACCTACACTATAGTTACAAATGGTATGATGACTGATGAATCAGAAGAGGTTTGGAAGGAGGTGATCATAGCCCAGCCATTATGGAATTTGCCTGAGTACCTGAGGAAAACCTCAGGATAGCTGGTTGTCCTGCCAAAATTCAAACCAAGTACTTCCTGAATACAGGTCTAGAGTGTTCCCACTAGACTTCCAATTTAAGCTTTTTGTAAAGTAAGAGTTATATATATATAGACCAAACTGAACATTTCAAAATAATGTTTAGGGTATCCCCCACCAGTACCAAATACTGTAAGAATCTGTTGTGTAGTGCCTGAAATGAACCATGCAGACAGATCAATACAACACTCCTATTATACTCTACTTTTATACACTGCTTGCCAGAAATGTATAAAGAAATTGCTGGATAGAAGACAAGTAGTAATATTCCATAATTTATATCAACATGAAAATATTTTAATGAAATCCATGTACCTGGGAAGCTTGAGATGAGATATTAACAATGCTACCTCCACTCTTTCGCTTTATCATATCTTCTACCACAACCTGACTCACATTGATCACTGCTCTGACATTCACGGCAAATGATCTGCAACACAACACACATTTCATAGAGCACTTGAAGAAAATTTTTGTCGCAGTCATATCCATTTCGCATTCTACACATTCTGAGTTATACGTCCAGTTTCCCCTGCTTTCTAGGCAGCAAGAATGCAAATATCAACTCACATCCATTAAAGCACCAAGTTTTGTGGAGCTTTAACACCATTCGTTCTTTTACACTTTCATGGCCTATTGCTCATGCACAGGAACACCTTTTCCTTGCTACTTTTATAAAGAAAATTAGAAAAAGAATGTTATATTTTTGTAAACTGAAACACTGTTAAGATGAGGATCATATGACTTGTTCATAACATGTTCTGCTCACTTACAAAAACATACAGATGAATGAAATTGCTCCTGCTTTGTATTCAGGAGATTTCTGGGCTCAAATATAGGCCCAAAGAAAAGTTATCCTGACTGAGGTGTTTCTTGGTTTTCCTCAGTTCATCCAGGAACAGGCTAGTATATCAAATTAGGCTATGAATCTTTTCCACATTCTTTCCAACTCATTATTCACTGAACATCCTACAAACCTCTGGGCAGTTACAAGTGAGTCGCGGAGCTGCTGAACTTGGAAAAAGTAAAAGGAATCCACATTGTTGAAGGATGCTACTAAGCATCTGGTACATGCAGACATAATGAACAGAGAAGACTTAGCATGTTATAGTCAATTGTAAAATGTGTAGATTAGCGAGGAAGCTGTAGCCTAGCAATTGCTAGTGAGAACAGGTTGAGAAACTTTAGTGAGTGCTGTAGTGAGAAGTCAAGTATGTGAATTAGCAAAAGCGTTAGAATTACTTGTAGTTATAAGTTGTGAGAGTTCAATAAATCCAGTTATCAATCCAAATCCGATGTATAGTCACTTATATGTGACAATACATACAGGATATCAGAAGAATTCTCTAACTTGAGGATGACATATTTATTGATCTGAACAAAACAGATCACTGCTGACAGCGAGACCGAATGGGAAAACATGTCAAGTTTTGTTGTATTAAGCAGTGCAATACAGTGCATATGAATGAAGGAACACCATAGTTGTGTCATGTATTAGTGTAAGCTGTGCTACATAGCCATTTTTCAGGATGTTTGATTGGAAGAGGTGGACCAATTCCATGGCTCCCAAGAAATCCTAACTTCATTTGACTTTTTCCTGTGAGGGTGTATAAAAGGATTTCTGGTTTTCACAATAGTGGTTGTGAAGAATCTTATCTTCTGGTATATAACACTGTGTAGTCTTGTTGAAAGTCAACCAACATTTCAGATGAATATGTCAAGTCTTCTTGCTACTTGTTTCATGGTGGTTTCTTGCTTGGTTTTGTGGGAACATCCCACATTATCACGCATTTCTGCAACGCTCGCTCTTCACATCGCTTTTCACCATCACGCGCGCTAACCAATCTGATTGCTTTAAACGTTCATATTTATACTGGGATCGCTCCTGGCCCGCATCTACATCATTACGCACGCTAGCCAATCAATTCTTCCTCCTCACTTTCGAGTTTGGCTCCGCCCCACCAACCAGCGTATAAAAAGGAGCGACTCCAAAGCCGAGATATTCAGTTCAATTCAGTTCCACGCAGTTCATCATCAGTCTACGCGCTAGCCACATCAAGCAACTTCAGCCAGCAGGCTTCGTCGCCAGCACTTGGTCTTCGGAGACATCGGCAGGCTGCGCCAGGCACGACTGCCTCGGCCCTCCGGCGCTCTCACACCCGACTCACTGGGGCACCGCGCCCGGACTTGCCGGTGGTCGTGGTACGGCCCGACTCACTGGGCTTCTGGCGTAGCCACTGCCTCATGGCTCCTACGACCGCGCTCAACGACTAGCCTTTCACCAGCCATTCACCGTAACTAGCCTTTCTCCTTACCGGTGCGCGCCGCACTACCTCTCCGATCAAGCATCTCAGCAGCCACGGTCCTTTTCAGGGCCAACAAATTGTTCCGAAGAAGTGGGTTGTCATCGGAGTAATGACAAGACTACACACATTGACAAGAGGCCCACAGTTTATTCTTTGACCCTGAAGATGTGTGTGATATGTTCCTCTGAATCATGAGTTGACATTCAACAGACTATATGGCATTATGTCCCAGAAGGTAGAACTCTTCATGTAAGAGGACACTGTATGACTCGAACAAGCTGACAATTTTCAGGATTTATGATATTCAATCATAGCAATAATAGTAACAGTGACACCAGCACTGCTGACGGGTGTGGACTGCGCTCAGATATTGTCTTGAGATTTTCTGGGAATGGAGCTCATATTGAGTTTTGCTGATTCATCATCATCATCATCCTCATCATCTCACCAATGTTTCATGTTGCCATTGTGCATTTCATTTATTCATACTGGGCTGATATTCATATTTCAAGCTTGATATCAAGTGTGATTCACTCTTCTGTATCTAGTGTTGACTGGCCTGTAACGTCACTGCGGGCGGAAGGGGGGCGGAGAGTTGACTAGCGCTGTTACATCTGCTGGCGGGGGAGGCGGGTGTCCTGCATAGCGCGAATACGTCACAATATTAATATTATAAAGTTTATTATGTTCTTGTGTTGTTACACCATATGGATGTGGGAGATGCTGCCCAAATCTCAAAAACATACATGCTGACTCCTTTTTTAGGGTCAAAGTGTGTAGGTTGATGAGTTTCTGTGTCTATACAGCATTGTTTTGAAAACGAAGGGGGGTGGATAGACCCTACTGGTCCCCATTCTATCTACCCAACCTTCTCCCTCTCCATTTAAAAACACAGTGCTGTATATACATAAAAACTCACCAACCAACACATTTTGACTGTGAAGATGGAGGCAACATGTACCTCTGAAATGCTGGAAACATTGTCAGATCCACAGGTGTAACAACCCAAGTACAGAAACAACCCTAATAAATATTATGTTTCAAAACTCTGGATTCTCTCTTAGATACCCTGTAAATAAACATGAAGTGTGATGAATAGGGAAATAAAAGCAGTACACTTGTTACTCTGTATTACTTGTCAAAACTTTCGGGCTTGATATCAAGGAAGGACTCGAGGCAAGCATGAGCGGCATTGTTAACAAGACAGTCGATAGGACCAGCAGACAGTATGGCAGCCCGTGTTGCATCCCAGTCAGCCAGATCTACAGCAATCGTCTTAATTGTGTTCACTTCTGCTGACAATGAATCGAGCCCCTCCTTGGAACGTGAGACAGCAACCACCTCTGCTCCCGAGCTAGCCAATCGCTTAGCCAGCTCTCGCCCAATTCCTGCAAAATTCAGGATTCATATTAATTCTTGTATTATTTAAGGTGTAATATAGGCAGCTGGCCATAATTAGGAGCTTAATAATATGTATTTCACATAATTATTAGAATGATAAAAGGAGGATGAGATGGGTACAGTATGTATCATAACATGGGTAAAAAGAAAATGTAACAGGCCATGAATGCCCATAGGGGTGTGAGACATAAGTTCCCACATTTTCTAGGCAGACAGCTCATAGATGGCAGTAAGGTTGTCAGCCATATGCACCAGCTGTCCTTCACCCCCAGAAAAATTCCTGGTACTCATTTCTGTTAGAGGCTGAGTCAACCCCAGGGCCATAGTGCGGCTGGAAGGATTAGGCCAATTGAAAAAATCCTGTGACCTCATCATGATTCAATCCCGTGACCTGCCAGCTTGTAGCACAGTGCCTCAACCAACTATGCTACTGCATGTCCCATCATACATGGGAGAAAAGAGAAAAATTCATACAAAGATGTGGTAGGAAAAATCATGTAGGAAAATCTAGATATAGATGGAAGGATAATAATAAAATAGGTCTTAAAGAAATAGGATGAGAGGGTGTGGACTGGACTTATCTGGATCAGGATAGGGTCCAGTGATAGGTTCTTGTTAACATGGCAATGAACCTTTGGGTTCCACGTGGTAGCGTAGTGGTTGAGGGGTTACACTACAAGCTGTAAGGTAGCGGGTTCAAATCCCGATGAGGTCATTGGATTTTTTTCAGTTGACCTAATCCTTCCAGCCGCACTATGGCCCTGGGATTGACTCAGCCTCTAACAGAAATGAGTACCAGGAATTAATTAAATAATTTTCCTGGGGAGTAAAGCATGGCCGCGTAAGGCTGACAACCTTACCGCCATCTGTGAGCTGATTGTCTAGATAATGTGGGAGCCTCAACGTCTCACAACCCTATGGGCCTTCACGGCCTGGTACAGGGATAGCTTTACTTTACTTTACTTACTTTTTTACTTACCCACAAAATAAAATCCATTCATCAAATGGTCCATGGCCTAAAAAAGTTTGGGAACCCCAGCTTTAGACTGTACTTTACTGTATACATATACGTAGTATATATGGATTATACAAGAAGAGCATATAGGACAGGAACCACATAATACTTGTCATAATAACCAGACAAGATACAAACCAGTCACCCCTTGAATACACACTAAAGAGAAATGAAGGAACAGAAACAGCTAACTGCTGTAGTTTTTATTCCATAAATCAGTTAACAGCCCAAAAGACATAAATCATACATTCACCCAAAGAGAGAGCCAATAACATAGAATTTTACTCTCATAATACATACAGTGTTATTAAGATGAAATATGCTACTTTTTGAAATATATAAACATAGGTCTTACCTCTTCCAGCTCCAGTTACAAGAACACGTTTCGTTCTAAAGTTGATTTCCATGTTTTGATGGTTTTATCTATACAACAAGCAGAACTGACTTTACCAGAGGAAGGAATATGTCATCACTGGTATTTACTGTGATAACAGCATTGGTTCAAAGGTTAATCTTGATCACACCGCTGACACGAACTGTTATGTTCATATAATAAATCAGTTTACATACATATGTAATGTGAAATGAAGCACAAACTTCTGAGTCCTTAAGATCATGTGGTTTCGTTTGTAGGTATGTATTTGTAAATAAAGAAAATTAAACTTATATTTAGATACATTTAATTCCTCGAGACTTTAAAATATATCACTTCCTTGTCAACAAAACTGTAAAAAACCTTTTTGTGTGTGTTTCAGCCTCAAAACAATAACTGAATGGGATATCCATCATACAACCAAACTCTGTGATACCCTGACCCCCCAAAATAATATACAAATTGGTGTGATTCCTCCCCTCCATGATGTGTGTCACCAGTAGAAACTAAAACAGCTTTACTATTTCTAGACACCTACAGTAAGCTATATGTTCCTGCAGGCATGAGAAAGTGAAATGTTCTGCTGCCTACAGCTACTTGTATTTTTATTGAAAGCACCTACATTAAGTCTCACTTGCTTAATTGCCAAAATTGTGTGTATGTACAGTTATATTTTAAGTAATTCTTGAGATCTCAGCAACTCTCTCTTGACTAGGTCATAGCACCCCATGGGGGTCATGACCTACAGTTTGGGAATCATGATATAACCTTCTTAGGCATATTTTGTAAAAGAAATAATGATATTAAAGTTTGCCTGTAATAACACGTCCATTCTATCTGTGCATAATGTTCAAGTAAAACTTTCTGAAGTTGTGTGACGTGAATTCATTGGGTTGCCTGCAAGTTGACACAACCAGCAACATCAGATACTAAAAAAGGTATAAGTCGTCCCTCTGCTTAACTAAGCCATGAAGGGGTATGGAGGAGTGGATGTATACATCATTTTCTTGAACTTAGCACTAACTGGAGGTGAGTGGTCAGCTTCATGCCCCTATCACTTTACCTCCAGGGAAAGCGCCCCCCATACCCATTGGATAGGAGGTTGGATAGACCCCAGAGCCAGTCTCGATGATGTGGAGAAGAGAAAATCCTTGACTCTACTGGGATTCTAACTTCAACCACTTGGTTGTCCAGCCCATATCCAGTCGCTATACCGACTGCATTATACTGGCTCCTTCATTAGATGTTAAATATAACGAAATTAACAGTAAGGAGAATAAATATTTGACAAGACAGCGTGCTCTACATTTGTGAATAACACAGAAGTATTTAGAATGGGCTGCTGGCTCAATGGCTAAGGAATCAGGGTTTAGTTCCTTGTCCTGCCCAGTTCAGTAATCCAACCCATCTTCCGTCCAATGCAGGGATTACTAACCCGCTAATGGGTACCGTAGGTAGAGAGACCGAAGCGTAAACTGACCACTCTAGCGTATGGGTTAAGAATGCATGGAACTATACCTCCACTCCACCTTACGTCTTAATGCTCTAGTTCCTAATCAGTTCAGGACAGGCACTCTCACGTTAGTATATTGAGCTTAACATACACCGCTTAACGCCAAATAGGTATAATGCAGCTGCACTGAAGGCGCTATACGTTCGTATTCCCACGGATCACGTACATTCAAGGACTTCAAGGATCACATACGTGACTTTCTACAGTTTCATACCGATAGATTACGCACGGAGGTCATGCATATCGATCATATCGATAGACCACTTATCGAACATTCTTGAAAATTATAATATGTCATGTCAAACTGTGGCGAAGAAAAATAATGTTGGTTGATATAAATCTTAACATGGAGTACTGTATTAAGATAGGTCTGTTCTAACGTAAGTGTAATGTATGATATGAAATTTATGCGTACTAATATTAAAAAATTACTTTTATATTGAAAGTCATTTGTTTACTGGAATAAATGTTAAGCATGAGCGCATAGTATAAGTTTCTCTTTCTTCAGGTGAAAATCAGCAGTTTACGGGAATGAGCTTAGACAATACAGGGCAGTTGCCACCAGTTTCATCAGTGCTGGGACTGGGTGGAGCATTTCAGAAAGGTTTGGTGTTTCTTCTAAATCTGGCATGGAAATCTCGCTTTCGCCTTCCAGTTCTGATTACAGTGGGATTTATGGTTCTTGATGTGAGAATGCAGCTCGAGATAAATTTGGACCTAGAGGTAGCGCATGTACATAACCAAGATGATGGAGATGACGACGAAGAAGTTGATGATGGGGACGATGATGATGAGGATGATGATAGTGATAGTGATAGTGATGAAGAAAAGGAAGGTGTTGATAGCAACGCCTGTGGCACCAGTTACCCCAGCGCTGTTGAAAGTAAAGTAGAAATGGAATCGAAACTTCAGTTGGAGTGAAGGCTGCAGTGTGAGCACTCGGGTTAAATATTTAAATTGTTGCTGAAGTGTACAAATGCCAATTTCGTGTATGAAGCACTTTTGGACTGAAAAGATACACAAACAATGTGGGTGACTCCCACAGGTCTGTCTTATTGATGTTTGAATGTGCTCCTGAAGTGGGAAGCCATACAACATATAACGTGATCAAGTAGCATACGTTTCAATGCTGTAGTTTGCTATTTTATTTTTATAATGTGTGTGTGTGTATTAAATATTGCACTTCATAATACTTTCATAGGTTATACCAAAGTATTGTTAAAAATCAAAGGTGAAATGTGTTTGTAACATACAATTGACAGCTGCATGCTAATGTATAATCATTTAATCATGCATAATATGCTGTAAAACATGAATATTTGTTAATGTGTGGTTTATAAATTATTTAAACCAGCTGACATAGAGGTTGAGCATATGTATGTGTCTCCAAGACACCCAGCCTTGACACCCAAGCAATAATCCATCTTTTAAATGAAATACTGACAAAATTTAATCCCATCCATACAACACAATTGTTGACTTGGCTGGAATCTGCTCAGTCATGATAATATTCATTGTATATGAATACTTTTCTTAATCAAAGATGAGAGGAATTGAGCCAAATTGCAATTGTATAGGATCCAAGGCAAATAAATGAAGATAATTTGAATAATTTAAGATACAAAGCTACTAGACATTTCAGGAATAAAATGAGAGAATATATTGTGACATGCCTGGAGGCTGGTATAGTGAACCAGAGGAGGCATCCATTGCTTAGAATTAATGAGCTTTCAACAGACTGAAAGAGCAAGAACATTAGGGACTTGGGGCATGCCGTAGCATAGTTGGTTGAGGCACTATGCTACAGGCTGGGAGGTTGCAAGTTTTGATTCCTGATGAGATCACTGGATTCTTCAGTTGGCCTAATCCTTCCAGCAACACTGTGGCTGTGGGGTCAACTCAACCTTAAACAGAAATGAGCACCAGGATCTCCTGGGGGTAGAGAGAGGCTAGCAGGTAAGGCTGACAGCCTCACCACCATCTGTGAGCTCATTGTCTAGATAATGTGGGAGCCTTGACATCTCACAGCCCTATGGGCCTTCACGGCCTCTTACCTTTACCTTTACATTAGGGACCTACATATAAGCATAAATTAATTTAAGAAGTTATACCAAACTAGAACTAAGCATAAGAAGAGTGATTGGCTTGTGATTCCCAGAACATTGTTAATAGGTAGAAGAATTCCTGCCCCCTGCTATTGAGTGTACATGGGGTTAGTGATGTTAGGCAGATGGAAATATATAGAACTGAGCCCTTAATATCTCAGTCTAGTTCTTTTGGGGTTGTGTTTTCTGCTGTAATGTTGACAATGTGTGAATTGTAAGGTACTGGTCAAATTCTTGATTACAGCCAGAAGGAAAACATTACATTTGGAGATCCATAAATTCATTAATTCTGTCTGAAATAAGGAAGAATTGCTGCAGGTTGGAAGGAGTCTATTATCCTCATTCCATCAAATTCTCCATAAGCATTATCACCAGTACAGGTACAATAGGACATATGGAAGCCAACGTGCCGAGGGGACCTAATATGGATTCCACCTCACACTATACGAACTCTTTTAATTATTGTAATCTATTGTAAACAATTGTAAGTCTTGCAACTTTATTCTCATATTGTAATCAGCCAATGTACAGTAACTGACTTGTCCTATATCATGTAACAGTGATCTATAGAGATGAAATAAATAAATAAATATTTTACCTTTCTATAAGAAGGGTGATAAAACTGACTGTTATGATTAATGAGGCATGTTACTATCATCAACTTCATACAAAATTTTATCCAATATTCCTCTCTAAATTTAATTTGTCTCATTCTGCTCCGTCACACTATTAATTACAAAGTGGATAATTTTCAGTCCAGTGTGACATACAGGTTTACAACACTTCAGTCTTTATTGACCTTACATGTTTCGATTCAAAAGAATCATCCTCAGAGGCGCACCACTATGATCAAGAAACACTGTCACATAAGATGTTTTAATAATATGCACTTGAGCTATGAATAATGCTCACTATATAAATTTTGTTATTAAGACAGTTAGTTTTGATGTTTGTCTTAGGCATTCATGATGACGCTTCTTGAAGTGTAGATTTACGTATGATGCTGTTTCTTTTAAGCGAATTTGCAGGGTATTCTGATTGGGATTTTCCACTGCACGTGATATGATATTCACTTTTCCATACAGTAGCCTCCCAATGTATTTGAAATTGTATTAAATTTTTCTTTTGTATGTAAAAAATTAGTTATTAGGTTAAAATATCGTGAGCCGACATTGGGTCATGTTGTTTTCCTCCTGATGGTGGGAGATGTCGTTTATTTCTCTTGATTTTATGTTCTTATTATTAGTTGTGTAGTTTATGTGTGTGCTGTGTCGTTTGTACAAACTAAGAATGGTCTGAAGTAAGGAAATGCTTTATTGCCATTGCTTTTCAACTTTGCTATAAAATGTGTCATGAGGAATGTCCAAGAAAACTGGAGGGATTAAAATTGAATTAGACACTATTTCTGGTCTATGCTGATGAGGTTACTTAATTAGACAAAAGCATGAGTATGATCAAGGAGAACACAGGAGCTTATTAGACATTAATAAGGAAGTTTGTATAGAAATAAATATTTATTACTGTTTAACAGTTATGGCCTTGTTTCTGTGGGGCACCCTCTCTGACGAGAGGACGGGTCTGTCTTTTGTATATGCCGCTGACCCTTGGCAGCGCAGTCTTTCTCGGGTCCAAGTCCCTTGGTACTCACGACCATATTTTACTGTAGCAGATTTGAGACTTCCCTTTTTGTCACCTCCTATGACTCGCAGGGTCACAGTGGAGGTATTTGACCCTGCCTCCACACAGGTGTGTGAGTATTCGTAGCTGCGGTAACGTTTTTACTGAATGATAGGAGGGATACATATACAGACACGCAGACTGATCGGAGGGATTTATGAGGTACGCCGTTTAGATGGGCTCAGGTACCATGATATACAAACGGAGTTTCATAAGATTGGTTGAGGCATTCAGACATGGATTGGGGGGGGGTTCCACAGAGAGACAGACAGTATGGTGATCTCATAAGCATTTATTTTTCCAAAGTAAGGAAAGAAGTTTTTTTATTGCTAGTGGGGTGGGACTAAGTCCCTTGTACTGTGGCCACTTCTGGCCTATTGTACCAGCCCCAGATGATATGCAAGGGTGATTGTGGAGCAATTGGTGGAATGAAGATTGGCAGGGGAAACCGAAGTGCTCGGAGAAAACCTGCCCCAGCGCCACTTTGTTCACCACAAATCCCACTTGACCAGACCCCGGGATCGAACCCAGAACGCCGCAGTGGGAAGCCAGCGACCAACCGCTTGAGCTATGGTATGGCCAGAGGAAAGAAGGTTAAAAAATTAATCTATATTCTGCTTAGGAGATCATAACTGCCCACTACCAGCTTGGACAGGAGCAAGGATAGCGCAGTCGGTATAGCGACTGGCTACGGGCTGGACGACAGAGGAGTCGGAGTTCGAGTCCCGGTAGGGTCAAAAAATTTCTCCACGTCGTCCAGACCGACTCTGGGGTCTACCCAGTTTCCTATCCATTGGGTACCGGGGCTCTTTCCCAGGGTTAAAGCGGCCGGGGCATGAAGCTGACCACTCATCCCCGAGATAAATTCTCTGCATGGTACCAACATAAAAAACACATTTTTTCCCATTTAATCTGCACTGGACGGGGTTGTAATTTTCATAACTTCTGCTGCGGTATTAGGAATCCAGATGGGAGAGATGACCAAGTTGGGATGACTGATCGGATGATATATCAAAGACAGTTGGGCTGATTCCCTGTATTTCCTGTGTGTCATGTTTGGTTCAATCTGCAAGAGCTTCGCTTCTCTCCAACACATTTTATGGCCTTCTTCGTACGTATACACGTCTGTATTTAAAAAGGAGAATTTCTGAAAATAATAAATCGCATACTTCCCTTTAGATACATATTGTGTATTTGATACCACACGGACCGTATAGAAGACGTCGCTTCCAACAGTTTTTCTGTTGTTTCAAGTGTGTTCGTTGCCGCGGGAAATGTTTACCGAGCCGTTGCCTAGAAACGGCCGTCTCTTCTGACTCCAATATTCCGGCTTTCAAGCTTTAAAGGAGACACACAGATGTCATAAGCCTCATTTTATTTTTCCAGAAGGAGAAAAGTAGGCTGAAAATATGCACGTAGAAATGTTGTTTTATTTAGAATAATTTAAGAACAAAAAATAAAACAGTGCTTACTGGTGCCAGCCCCTTGTTAATAATTTGGCGTCACGCCTTTAATTTATGACGTAATAATACATAAAAACAAACTATTGGTCCCCGAAATATTTTAAACTGCAAGTCTCTTTAAAGTAATACTTTCTAAACTTTATTAGTGTTTTAACTTAATTTTATTTTCTTAATATTATGGATTATTACGCAGTTTCTGAAACACGTGTTTCCCTCGATGGCACAAGACGTCGCGCCTTATGTAGCTAACAAGCTCGAAACATTAAAACTGTGAAGAAGAACTTAGAATTTCGAAATGCATCCATAAAACACAATATTAACATACTTCTTTCAAATTAAAAATATTAATCATTGAGATTTGTTTCCGTTGTGTTGGATCCTCGTCGAATGTCCCGTTTTCTATTTTTACCACGGTGGAGGATTAGACCCTTCATTACAATGTGGAAACGCCAGGTAAGCTTTTCATTTGTTCTCTTGGTCCTGTCTGGTCGAGATGATAAGAACAGATGAGGACACGTAGCGAGTCTCATTCCAGTAAGCCGTAGGCGGGCGTGACTGAAGAACTTTATTAAATGTTGCCATAGAAACATGCAAAGTAGGATATGAGACTAACTCCGGGGATCTGAGCCCTTCTTGATGAGCCTCCAGTTTCTCAGCCACTCAAGAATTTTCCAAAATTTTATGAAACCCGAAGATTCATTACCATGTTCACAAGAGCCCTCAAATGGTCCATCTTCTGGGCCAGATCAATCCAATCCACACCATTCCATCCTACCTCTCTAAGATCCATTTTAATATTATCCTCCCACCTACGTTTAGGTTTTTCCACTGGTCTCCTCTCTTTCTGGTTTTCCCACCAAAATCCTATATGAATTCCTCTTCTCCCTCCATGCATGCTACATGCCTCGCCCATTTAATCATGTTTGGCTTGATCATTCTAATTATACTCGGCGAACAGTACAAGTTATGAAGCTCGTCATTACGCAGTTTTCTGCAACCTCCTGCCATTTCGTCCCTCTTCAGTACAAATATTCTCCTCAGCACCCTGTTCTCAGTCACCCTCAGTCTATGTTCTTCCCTTAATGTTAGAGACCAAGTTTAACACACATACAAAACCACAATCAAAATTATAGTTTTGAGACTACCTTTATTTACTTAAACTTTTCGAAGTGCTGTGAAGGCCTAGGGAGTTATGCTGGCGGAAATCAAACATGTGATAGGGCTAGAGGCCTGCTGACCTTAAAGCGTGGAAGTTAAAGTGTGAAATTTTAGCCTATTCTTACTGTATTTTTTCTTTGGGCGGGGTCTATCTGTGTTTTAGTGTCAGCCCCTAAAACGCTGGCTAGAGACTTTCGCTAAAAATTGTCGTACAACTCCGATTTGCAGCCATGTTTATTCACAAGAAAGTTTTGTTCACTTGAATTCATATATGGACTTCTCCATGTATCCCACAAAACGTTTCGCAGACATTGCTGAAGTTCAATGTGGAAGGGTTTCACAAAATGTCGGGAAATTCCGATTTGCAGTCATGCTGATCCATACAAAAAACAGAATGTATTTTAAGAATGCCAACTAATCGAATTCCCCGGAAGCTGTTCAACACTCGTCCTGTAGGCAGGAGAGAGAGGTCAGCTACCAAAGAAATGGAAGGTTCAGTTCCTCTGAAGCGAGGATCGGACCAGATGGAAATGCCTAAACCCCGCAGTTGGTGATGATTTTGATGATGATGGTTATCCATGCATCTCATAATAAATTTCACAAATTTTCTTGAACTTCTATATGAGACGTTTCACTAGATACTGTTGGGCAATTTCGATTTTCGTCCATATCTACCCATAACAGAGACATAAATTAACTTTCTGTACATACTATAAACCGTTTCGCAGTTACTGCTGAAATTTTGTGAAAATGGAAGTTTTCCGCTAAAGGTTGTTGGATAATTTAAGTTAATGGTACTACAGATCCACAATAAAACATAGTTTGAAGCCGTTTTACATATTTCTACCAAAAGGTGCTCGAGAGCTCCAATTTCTAGAAATCTAATAAGTTCCAGTTTACACAAGGCCATAAGTGAACTGTTCCTTAAATCTTTTCACGGATTTTGTTGAAATTCGATATGAGAGACTTCCAACGAAAGCTGTTGGAGAATTCAGGATTTTCAGAAATATTTATCACTAACAAAGCATGGACAGATCACAGTGGACGCGCGGTCTAAGACGTTAAATATTTTCGCCCACTCGAACACTGGGATCGTGGGTTCGAATCCCGTTCAAGGCATGGATATTTGTCTGCGTTTATTCTGTGTTTATGTTGTCCTGTGTAGGTAGCAGCCTTGCGGCGCGCTGATCACTCGTCAAAGGAGCCCTACCGACAGTCTAAGATTAAGATTCTGAAAGGATACAAAGTGTTTGACGGAAGCTGTTTGCTCCTAGTTGGAGCAACAGAAATAGATGGATAGATAGATAGATGGATGGATGGATGGATGGATGGATGGATGGATGGATGGATGGATGGATGGATGGATGGCTTGGACATGTTCATAAATATAATTTTTCACGTGCCCCACAAACCATTCCATAGAGTTTGTTGAAATTCGATATGGACGACTTTCAGTAATTTGGATTTTATTATTCATATTTTTAAGTAAGCCTTATAAACTTCAAAGAACTCCAGTGTTAATTATGTGTACTACATTATGAGGTTTTGTTTTCCCTGGAATCACCACTGTCTTAAGAAATGCCATTAAGAGAATATTACATGACGTCACGAGGAGGGAGAGGAGGTTGCATCTGCTCAAGTCTAGAACGTCAGTTCGTCTTCACACGAGATTCAGTTCCGACGTTAAAATTGGCTCCCGATACAGGTAGGCACTGAACATTAGCCGCGCTAAACTTCAAGGGTTTTTGCATTTCTGGTAAACTGTGAAGTGTAATTCTCCATGAATGGGAGGTTCCTGACCAGAATGCACGTACACTACAGTGAATCATTGTGACACCATTAATATTATATAAGAATTTGTTTGGGGTTTTAAGTACGAGGATTGCAAAAACGTCAAATTTAAGTTAATGGAGTAAAACTCTCAATTTATCAGCCGTAACAAATATTTAACACATTATACTGACCTTTATAAAGATCAATATGAAACCTATGCTATTCAAGACAACTCAACAGCCACGTTTGATTATATGCAAGTTGTAATATGATGATTCTTCGAAAATTCCAGATAGGAGAAAACTAATGTCATTTAATGTTGACTATGAATTACTGTGTGATATAATTCCATGTATATTGAAATGTCACTAATGCTATTTTTGTTTAAAACCAATGCAATACGATAGAACTCCTAAACATCTTTGCCAATGCTCGTAAACATTTATACGTAAATTATTTTTTGTCAGGTTCTTCAGTGAATTATATTACCTTTGGTATATATATTGGGGCACGTGGTGGCGTAGTTGGTTGAGGAACTATGCTACAAGCCGGAAGGTCGCGGATTCAAATCCCGATGAGGTCATTGGATTTTTTCAATTGACCTAATCCTTCCAGCCGCACTATGGCTCTGGGGTCGACTCAGCCTCTAACAGAAATGAGTACCAGGAATTAAATAATTTTCCTGGGGAGTAAAGCGCGGCCAGCACGTAAGGCTGACAACCTAACCCCATATTTGAGCCGATTGTCTAGATAATATGGGACCCTCAACTTCTCACAACCCTATAGGCCTTCACGGCCTGTTACAGGGGTAATTTTACTTTACTTTACTTTTACTTTGGTATACGCATGATCTGTTGATATGTTCGTGTGCAGGCTAACAGGATAGACATTTCAATATACACTTACAGATAATCTTAGCTTTTCATAAAGTAAACTGTACTGAAATGATGAAATTGCTTAACCAATACGTATTATGGAAAAATTGTGCATATACTGGGCAGAGCATAAAGGGCTTGTGTTTTTTTTTAAATATAAAATGGACTGTTCTACACGTTTGAATGAAACTCATACACAAGTTTTGCAGAACATACCAACTATATGTGCATAAAATTATTTATTCTGTTCGGATTGATTCGTTATACAAAGCAATTTTTGCAAATATGAGTGTTAAAATCAGGCATTCTTACATTCATATTTCCCGATTTTTGAATTTGTCAGAAAAAGCTACAGTTGAATTCATCGAATCCACAGAATGGGCACCAAATTCCACAAATTGAATCCATTAGACTAAAATGTTTAGAGCAAACTTAAATGGTCATTGTGCAGAAACTAGAGATAGGCGTTTTAATCCCTGAGTTACGGCAACAAACGATTACAAATATATGGCCTATTGTACCATAAAATAACATCCGATCAGCCATAGACCAATAGAGAACGAGTTCAAGTCGTAATCTAAGAAAACAGATGTCCCATTGAACATCATTTCCGAGAAAAGAAAGTGACTGAATTGTAAATAAAATCCCTATTTTTAGCGTCTAAAATGGAAAATATTTTTTTCTGCGCAATGAAACAATCGAAACGAATGAATATTTTTATAGATATACTTAGGTATGTTGTATACAACTTGTATTAATTTCATTCATATCTGTATAACCTTTCATATTTACTATTTTTTTATTAAATAAAAGTGTTACGAACCAAGGAAACATCGACAAATTTTGTACGTATTGTAAAACTGGTTATATTCTCCTAGCAACCAGACAAGAGGCGGTGCGCTTCTCAGGTGTATCACCTGGTGTGGAGATGGTCTGGAAGATTCAATTATTACTATTTCTGGCTGCGACGGCTAACACCACTGCAGAAGGACGCCATGACTATCCTCCTCAGTTGATGCATACTGTGAATTCGTTGAACAAGCTACTGGACTATATGCTCGAACCACGTAGTGTGATAGGGGATATGATTTTTGGGGTCGTGCTGGCACGAGGTAGGTATGTGGGCGTGACAGTAGTTGATTTGTTTTCAGAATATGACGTTCTATTATCAATTTTGTTGGCTTTAAATTCTATGGCTCTATATGGCATGCATATAGTTTCATGAATTTGTGAATATATTATTCTTACAGTATTTTGGAATAGGGTTTCAGTATGTTTTAATAAGGGGGAAGTACTATACGACATGCTCAGTATGTTTGGTGTATCCATGAAAGTGGTTAGGACTAACAAAAATGAGATTAAATGAAATCCATGGTACAGTCCGTATAGGCAAACCTTTTCTCGTACTTTTTCTATTAAGAATGGCCTGAAACCAGGAAATAATTTATCGCCATTGCTTCTAAAATTTGCTTCATATTACAACAATAAGAAAGTCCAAGAAAGCCTGGAGGGATTAAAATTACAGTGGACACATTAGCTTTAAACTGTGATAATGATGATGCTGATGACGTCATTTTATTGTACGAAATTATGTCACAAAGGACATAGAAACGAATTAGAAGTTGATAAAGAGGCTTGCCTAAAAATAAACTCAGAAAAGACCAATAGGTAATCAATTCTTTGGAAACGTAGCAAAAATCACATATTTGGGAACGACGTTAACGAATTAAAACTACATTCGTGACGAAATTAAGAACAAATTAAATTTGGGAAAATGCTTGCTATCATTCAGTTCAGAATATTTTTTGTCTTCACTTCTGTGATCTAAAACTGCAAAGATTAGAATATACAAAATAATTATTTTACCTTTTTTTTCCTGATGTAAAACTTGATCTTTCATATTAGGGGAAGGACGTAGATTATGGGTGATTTAGAACAAGATGGTGATGATATTTTCGATCTAAGACAGAGGGATTAATAGGAGACTGGATGAAACGGCATAATGAGGACCTTCATATGTTACTCTTCAAAGATGATAAAATAAAGTAAGACGAGATAAGAGGGCCGTGTAGTTTAGTCGGACAACCTGAAGAAAGATTTTAGCTTAGATGGGAGGATGAAGCGAATCTTCAAGAAATATAATGGAAGGATATGGATTGGATTCATCTGGCTCAGAATAGAGACCAGTGGCATACTCTTGTGAACATGAATATAAGCTTTCGTGCTCCATGGAAGTCAGGAATTCCTAGATTAGTTAGGAAAATATTGACTTCTCAAGAAGAATCCTGTTCCACGGAATTTGTTGGTTAGTAAGTTTGTTAGTTGGCTGGTATTTTTTAGTGAATTTTCAATCATGCGAACGGAGGAGGTTAGTATAGCGGTCTAGATTTACATAAAAGAGGTTCTCGGTTCAAGTCCCAGCTAGGGTAACTGAAGATTTTCATGAGTTTCTCATACTCTTCATGAGAATATCAGGACTGTACCTTCAAATAGGCCGTGACGTCTTACAGCTCCTTCCCCACCCATCCATCAGGAAAGAAATAACGTGTCTGCTACAATGACCAGCCCGTGAATGCTGTTTACTGTGAGAACCATACGAAACACAGAAACACACTCTGTTAAAGTTGGTGATGAAGATAGAATTAAATGGCTAATTATACTCATAATCCATAATCTAATTTTTTTCGCGCCTAAGAGAACAGCGGAAAGTAGTCAAGAATGAGATATTTTATGCTCATCTGATTGGCCACAATCGGCGAATGAAACTGATTTTGGCATCCTAAAAAAACACATAAATGTGATGTGAATATTGTTACTATTCCTAGTAGGAGTCGGTATAGCGGCGGGCTGCAGGCTGGAGGGTCAGGGTTCGAATCCAATCAAGGAAAAGCTTTTTCAGTGCTCCACAGCCTTCAGACTTGCTCTGGAGCCCACCTGGCCTCCTATCAAATTGGTAACGGGGGCTCGTCCACCGAAGGTAAAGCGGCCGGGGGCGTGCAGCTGACCGCCAGCCTCCATCTAGCACTGAGGTCAGGAATGGTGAAGCTATACCTCCACTCCCCAATATGTGTTCATGGCATTAAGCACAGAGACAACTTCACAATTTGACTACTTCTAGTAGAATGTATGCCGCCTATAGTCAGTAGGAGTGACCATTTTGCATGAGGCATGCAACACGAAACGAAACATTTTAATTCTTCCCTCAGAGATCTGTTGTTGTTAAGTTCTTATGTAAAGTAAAACACCCTCTCGTCGCGAGAGCTCCAAACAATTCGTCAGAACTTCAACCTTAGAAATATCTCTGAAATCCTAAGCAACAAATGAATGATGATTATGTGGAGCAGTCATTGTTCGCTGTTAAGTCCGTAGCTTTGTGTTGCTGATTTGCTTTTTTGGAGATGTAAGAGGAGGAAGGAGAAATTTACCCAAATCTTCATTCAAGTAAAAAGTAAAGTTAGTAAAGTTATCCCTGTAACAGGCCGTGGAGGCCCATAGGGCTGTGAGACGTCGAGGTGCCCACATTCTCTAGACAATCGGCTCATAGATGGCGGTAAGGTTGTCAGTCTTACACGCTGGCCGCCCTTTACCCCCAAGAATATTCCTGGTACTCATTTCTGTTAGACGCTGAGTCGACCCTAGGGCTATAGTGCGGCCGGAAGGATTAGGTCAACTGAAAAAAAAAGTCCAATGACCTCATCGGGACTTGAACCCGCGACCTTCCGGCTTGTAGCATAGTGCCTCAAACAACTATGCTACAGCGTGCCCCCCAAAATCTTCATTCAAGATACCCAGTAAACCGGTTGAGATTGGAAACGAATAGGCAACAAAAAATCAGGTGTAGATACTCCACATAATACCTACAGGTCAGCTTGCAGTCTTGAGAAGACACCTGGCTCAGCGTCAAGACGTCAAGATGGAGCCTGAAGATCTGTCTGCAATATCGATCCTGGAAAACAAATGTGAGGAGATATACAGGAAGTATATGCCCATTAGATTGAGGGCCATAAAGGAGAATTATGACATCAGTGAGTATTCATATTCTTTATGTAAAGGTGCTCTGTTGCACAGTACCGTTTTCATTACTCTAGTTGTCCTTGCCTTTTAGTAAAATATTTCTACGTCGAGGGTACTAACGCTTCCGTTTAGAGGGAAGTTTGTCGAAGTTTTGGAATTCAGTGTTTTGGTGTATATTACGTCATTACATAAAAGCAAAGGTCTATATATAAGCAATTATTGAATTAGATTAAAACCAGAGCTGTATCTTTGGTGAACAAATAAAATAGTCATTCTCTGAATGTTCTGTTCAAATTAATGACAAATATGGATTGTATTTGTTAATCTGGACTTTTTTTTTATCGCTAGTGGGGTGGGACTAAGTCCCTTGTACTGCGGCCACTACTGGCCTATTGTACCAGCCCCAGATTATAGGTGAGGGTGATTGTGGAGCAATTGGTGGAATGAAGATTGGCAGGGGAAACCGAAGTACTCGGAGAAAAACTGCCGCAGCGCCACTTTGTCCACCACAAATCCCACTTTACCAGATCCGGGATCGAACGCGGGCCGCCGCGGTGGGAAGCCAGCGACTAACCGCTTGAGCTATGGCGCGGCCAAATGTGGC